GTATTGAAAAATGTCGAAAGCAGTACCAAAAGTAATCCAAATGATGATGTTGCAGTCGCAGTCCTCTCTGGCAGAATACAGTAGTTTTGTGTGAGGAACAGAGAAGAATTTAAGTTGTTAATGGCAGAACATATTATCATGATTATTATCCCGATCCTCTCTGTGAAAGCGAGTATTTCTCATTCAAACACACCTCACCAGAACCAAGGCATGTCACAGGCTGTGACAAAGCAGGCGAGAGCCACTGAGCGTTGGATTTTCCTGTTGTAAAAGCTGTCGTAAAGTTTCTTGAAGCGACAAATTCTGAATTTGTATCGAGCGCGTCAGGGCGGGAATTGCTGCTTACGGTCGCTGCTCAGGATGGAGATGAAGATCGCTGAATAAAGGCTTGAGTTTGGTTTTGTTCTTCGCAGTTGTATGGATTGTGAAAATTTGGATTTCAGCACATGAATAAAATTGATTCCTTTTGTAATTATGTTGTGTTTTTGGTGTGTTGTATGGTTCTGTTGTCAGTCACAGCATGACAGAGAAAACACCTTTTGTGTCCCACGGCAAACAAAGCAAATATTACATCACATTGAGCAGCATTAACTACACAGAGCCGTTGTTCACTGACGAGCTGCGCAAAACCACATTCATATTCGCGCGATTTTTTGCGCAGCTCGTCAGTGAACAACGGCTCTGTGTAGTTAATGCTGCTCAATGTGAAAGCACGCACGTGATGGAGATTTACCGCTGATTACAGAACCGGCTTTCTGACAAGATGCGCATTAAATATCGTGCAGCCCTAAAAAAAAGTTATTAATTTTAAGGGTTTAAAGTGTAGTCTTGTTGAACATTGTGTATTCTTCGAAACGAGTAGACAGCAGAAATCACACGTTATCATTTCATATTAAGTAAATAAGTAAACTTCATTTAATAATGCAACTGAAAACAATGCCATTTATATGACAACTGAATACAATACAATATAATAAAATGTTAATGCCGTGATTTCAATATTCATAAGGCTTCAATTGTAAGTCTGTAAAAAGTTGCCCATACATAAATAATTTATGTTTTAGGTGTCGTCAATACGGTGTCGTCAATACGTATGTTTAAATGCTGAAAATATGTCAGTATTGTACGTTTCGGTGCCTGTGAAAATGTAATTTAATGTACGTTTTGTTGAACCACATTTTACATAAATTACATATGAATTCTCATGAGATCACATTGGCTGTCCACTACAAAGGATACAATATACAGCGCTGCTTGAAAGTTTTTGAACACTTTAGAATTTTCTATATTTCTGGATAAATATAACTCACAAGATCATCGAATTTTCACGAAAAAAGTCCTGAAAGTAGACAAAGAGAACCCAATCAAACAAATGAGACACAAATATGTTCTTTGTCATTTATTTACTCTGAAAAATGATCCAATATTACATATGCTCATCGGGCTGGAAAAGGTTACAAAACCATCTCTAAAGAGTTTGGACTCCACAAATCAGAGAGATTGTGTACAAATCAAATTCAAGACCACTGTTACCCTGCCCAGAAGTGGTCGATCAACAAAGATCACTCCAAAAGCAAGACGTGTAATAGTCTGCGAGGTTGCAAAGGAACCCGGGGTAACTTCTAAGCAACTAAAGGCCTTTCTCACATTGGCTAATGTTTACTAAATAAAGAAAAAAAAAAAAAAAAATGTTGTAAAGTCTTCTGGTCAGTTTCTTCAGATTCTCATGACGTGTTTTTTAGAAAGCAGAATTTGCTAATAGGTCTCTCCAGAATACTGTTCTTTGTCCTCACTTTAACTCTGCGTACATACCCTTTGCTGTCCGGGAATATCTCCAAAATTTGACCTAAAGGCCAAGAGTTTCATGGTGAAGTATCAACGATAATGAGAACAATATCACCAGTTTTAAGGTTTTGTTTGTTTTTGTTCCAATTCTGCCTCTTCTGCATTAGCAAGAGGTACTCTCTAATCCATCGTTTCCAGAAAAGGTCGCAAATGAACTGTACTCGTTTCCATCTTCTTCTGGAATAGATGTCATCCTTCTGAAATATCCCAGGAGGCAAAACAGGAACTCCTTTCATCTGAAGCAAATAATTAGGGATTAAGGCTTCTGGAGCTTTAGTATCCTCTGAGACTGCAGTGATTGGACGATCGTTGAGTATGGCTTCCACTTCACAGAAAGCAGTCTGTAGGCCTTCATCATCAAGTGTCTGCTGTCTCAGGACCAGTGGTGGAAAGAGTACCGAAAAAATATACTCAAGTAAAAGTACCATTACCTTCCAAAAAATGTAGTGTGAGTGAGTAAAAGTACCGATACATCACTTAAAATGTATTCAAGTAAAAGTACACAATTTTTTAACTACTCAAAAAAGTACAATTACTGATAAAAACTACTTAATTACTGTAACGTGAGTATTTGTAATTCGTTACTTCACACCCCTGCTCAGGACGGAGTATAGGATCTTTTTGAGAATTTTAATGATTCATTCCCATACACCTCCATGATGAGAACTAAAGGAGGATTGGCCGTCCACTTCACATTCTCTCTCAGCAGTACCTTCTGTATTTTATCTTGGTTGATGTCAGCAAGTACCTCTCTCAATTCTCGCTCTGACCCAATGAAGTTGGTTCCAATATCCAAAATTATCTCCTTGAATTGACCCCTTTTACACATAAATCTTTTGAGAGCACAAAAACAGGAATCTGTGTTCAGCGAATAGGCCACTTCAAGATGAACAGCTCTACTATTAAAGCAGGTAAATATCACTCCATATCTTTTGACATGAGCTCTCCCCCTCTTCACCTCAATGGGACCAAAGTAATCGATTCCAACGTGACTGAAAGGTGGTAAATCAGGAGTGATTTGATTTAGGGATAAGTCTGCCATATTTTGTTCAATTGCAGATCCATTCCAACGTCTACAAAATAGGCAATCTTTGATTACTTTCCTGGCAGTAGCATTACCTCTGGTAATTCAGTATCTTTTATGGAGTTTAGCAAGCAGTTAGCTTCTACCACAGTGACCTGACATATTGTGAATATGGTCCATTAATAGTCTACACAGATGACTATCGTTGGGTAGAATAGCAGGATGTTTATACTCTTCTGGCATTGCCATCCTGCTCAACCTTCCGCCGACTCTCAAGATGCCATTGTCTAGGATCGGATCCAACGTGTATGTCCTACTACTGATTTTCATAGCATGGCCTTTGTTCAACAAAGTTATTTAATCTTGAAAACTATGTTGTTGAACAAAACAAACAAGAGATTCTTCAGGGAGTACAATATCTTCTACTAAAAGAGTTTGGGCACCAACCTGGGATTTAATTTTGTTCATGTGGTTATCAATATATTATTGAGCTTTGGGATGTTGTGAAAATATAGCTGCTGCTTCTTTCCGCTTCTGACTCAAGTACAGGAGCATATTCCTACATTTCAACAGCTATGCAGTTGCTCTTCGCAACTTTTCCCATGATTACAATGTTCTACTAACTTGCTGAATGGAGTTGAATTAGCTGTAGTGATAGTAAAAACAGCAGTTGTTTTCTTTATCTCTGGATCACTGTCTGAAATGCAAAGTGATTCTTGAGGCAATTCAGGCCAGTCTGCAGCAGGACCCTTCAAATATTCTGGACCTCTCAGCCATCTTCCATCCTTCTTAAAAAAGCTAGACCTTACACCTCGGGAGGTGTCATCAGCGGGATTGGCTGCAGAGTTCACTTAATGCCACTGAAACTTCTGTGACAGATTTCTGATAGTCGAAACTCTGTTGGCCACATATATCTGGAATCTGCTAGTATCATTCAAGATGTATTTGAGGACTGATGTACTGTCGGGCCAAAATACTGAATCATCCAGAGTTAGCTCTAGTTCTGCCTTCAACATTCTGTCAACTTTTGCAGCAAGAACTGCGGCTGCCAATTCAAGCCTAGGGATAGTCATCACTTTCAGTGGGGATACTCTTGCCTTAGCCATCACAAAAACAACATGGACAGAACTGCTGATGTCTGCAAAATGCAAATAGCTAGCTGTACCATAGCCAATTTTGCTAGCATCACAGAAGTGGTGTAATTGAGCACTACATATTTTCCCAAAATTGTTGGGTATCTGAAAGTAGCTTAATTACCTCTAGCCACTTGTCCCATTTTTGAGCAAAGGCTCCAGGAATTTATTCATCCCAACCGTAGTTCATCCTGCACAATTCTTGTCCAATTCTTTTAGCTGGCAGCATTACTGGAGCAAGGAATCCAAGAGTATCGTAAACTGAATTGGTAACTGATAAAATACCCCATCTAGTAAATTGTCGTTGTTTCAAAGTTATTTTGAAGACAAAAGTATCAAACTCTGTATCCCACTGAAGTCCCAGTGCGCTGTCCACAGGAAGTTAATCTCTGTGCAAGTCAAGATGTCTCACATCTTTAGATCTCTTCTCCTCAGGGATAGATGCTAGTACAGTGCAGCTATTACTAACCCGTTTGGTGAGCTTAAATCCACCAGTAGCACATACTGCAATGAGCTCCTGCACCAACTTGACAGCTTGTCTTTCATCTGAGACAGACTTGAGGCAATCATCCACATAAAAGTTATGAATTGTGGATAAAACTTCAAAGTCAACTTTGCGTTAAAAGGAAGACAGCAGATGATAACGAAGGCAAAGTTGGCACAACTGGAGGAAGAAACGGCTCCAAAGAGATGTATAGTCATCCTGAACTCTTCCAGCGGTTGACTGATATCACCATTAGGCCACCACAGGAATCTCAAAAAATCAAGGTATTCCTTTAGGAACCTTAACTTCGTGAAACATACCCTCAATATCTGCCATCACAGCTATGGGTCCTTGACGAAACCGGAGGGTTACACCTAAGAGGGTATTTGTGAGATCTGGACCCTGCAACAAATCTGAGTACAGTGAAGTACCTTGAAATGAGGCGGCACAATCAAATACCACCCGGATTTTCTTTTTCCTTTATGGTAGACTCCATGATGGGGGATGTACCATACTCTACCATCATCTCTGTCAAGCTCTTCTTTTGGTACTTTCTCTGCATGACCCTTCTTTAGGATGTCGCCAATAAAGTCTCTATTATCTGATAAGAATGCTTTATCCTTCCTAAATCTCTTAAGTATACTTAAGGCTCGTTGTTCTGCAATCTTTTTGTTGTCAGGCAGGGTGAGGTCAGGTTCGCGAAATGGAAGACATAATTGGTAATGACCATCTCGTTTAACAACGGAGTTGTTCACAATTTCCAAGAATCTCTGATCCTCAAAAGAAAGTTCTAGTTTCTCATCATATGCTTGCTCTGGGAAGTCATTGTTATACTGTTCTGTGAGTAATTCTTCCAGTTTAGCCACTGAGATTCTGTTAGAAAGACACAAGTGGTCGTCCTTGAACATCTGTGGATGAGTTATCACTTAGTGGACCTTTAACTAGCCATCCTAAACATATTTGTACCGCATAAGAACCATCCTTCTGGCTGTTAATAATCCTCAAGGGTTTCATCGCTTTTGGGACATTGATTCCCAATGAACAGATCAACATCTGATTTTATGGAACACAGTCGAACATCTTTGAGATACGGCAATTTCTTTATGTTCTCTTCCCTTGGTATATTCTCCTGGCTGACAGGAATTGAAATTTGTGTTAAAGTTTCAGGCAATTCTATGAAGTAGTTGCTGTCCAGCTGGCTTACTTCCAAGCCACTCAACCGAAAGGTTTTTATGGGCTTTTCCTGTCCCATTGTCTTGAGCAGGATCTCAATTTGTTTGCCAGCCATGTTCAACTGTCTCATCAATCTCTCTGTACAGAATGTGGCTGAACTTCCATGGTCTAAGAAAGCATACGTTTGAAATACTCTACTACCTTTGGTGGCTTTTACTTTTACTGGAATTATCGCAAGCTTGCATTCAGCATGCAGCCCCTGTATGCTCGGTAGCTACAACAGCCATAGCGACAGGTCTACTGGAATCAGCCTTCGTAGTATCATAATCTTTCTTGTGCACATCAGTCTGTGAATTAGGTGAGCATTTATTTGCTGAAGCGTTTTTGATATGCAACACTGTTGGATGTTTCTTGGAACATATTTGGCAAGTGAGACGCCTTTTTGCAGGCTTTTGTTAGATGTCCTTTTTTGAGACAAGCAAAACAAAGACCATTTGTTCTCAAATCAATTTTATCTTCGTGTAATATGTCTGTCATTTTTGTCACAAGAATCCATTGCGTGATCATCAGCACAAAACAGACAGGGCTTATGGAAAGCAACATTGACATCATCTTGATGATTTTTCTTTGGTTGACTATTCTGTTTTGATGCTTTGATAGAAGAAACTGTTGTAACAAAACTTTTTCTACTAGAAGATTTGTGCACTGGAGGCTCAATCATTGTCTTTCTGATGTTAGAATTTGTTTTCGGATCTTGAATCTCTCCAAAGACTGGATCAAGAAGAATCTTAGCTTGCTTCTCAATGAAAGCTACCAAGTCAGCAAAGTCTGGCCTTCTTTGAGTGCGTTCCAAAATTTCACAGGCTGTAGCCCTCCACTTTTCTCTTAGCTTGTAAGGAAGCCTAGAGACAATGTTTTATAGATTAAATGGCAAATTCAACTCTGCAAGATCTACCAGATCTTGTGCTGCATTGCAACATCCTCTAAGATAGACTGCATAGCTATATAATGCTTTTCCATCATCTGAGTGAATATTACCCCATCTCAGAGCTTTCTCCATGTACGCACTAGCAAGCTTAAATTCATCTCCAATATGATGCTTTAAAAGACGTTTGGCTTCAGCATAACCTCTGCTAGCATTCATGTAGAGAAAACTTTAAACAAGTTCCTTGGGTTCACCTGCTGTGAACTGTTCCAGATAATACAATTGTTCTTGATTTGTTATCGGTTTTCTCCTCAATATTATAGATAACATATCTCATAAAAGGTCCATATTCCAGGGGATCACCACTGAAAACTGGAATCTCCCTTATAGGAAGTGAAGCTTGTTTCTGCTGAGTCACAAGTAAATCAGCCAAATCACTTTGTCTTTGCAGAACAGGACCAAGATCAACACTGGCAATATTGGTGTTACTAGCCGCACTATGCTGCTGGTCAGTTTGTGACATCGTAGTTGTAGCTAGGGCTGTGCGATTAATCAAAATCGAATTGAAATCGCGATTTGAGACGTTGCGATTTCCTAATCGCAAAGCCTG